AAATGTATTTCTTCTTAAATCAAAATTGTTAGAATAGGACATAGTTTTCTCAAATCACTTTCTGTTGCAGAGATTTCCTCTCTCCCTCCGAAGCCCGCGGAACCCGGCGTTCCTGAACAGCACGGCGGCGGGCAGCCTCAGCAGGTAATTCAGACCGTCCTTCCCCATTTTGGGCTTTTTTGCTGTTTAGAAACCCCTGCCTTGTGGTAGGTGATTATAAAACGGTGCCTGTTTTATGTTCGTGATGGAAGAACGTGGCCTTTGCTCGCCTCCAAGTCACCTGCCAGCATGGAGGGAACAGGGCCAGGACACGTAGCATCTCTCCCTTTGTAGTGTTTTTTTTTTTTTTGGACTGGGGGTTAGTAGTCTTGTGGTGTCTGTTCGACGTCCACACAGAGGTGTGGAGTGTGCAGGTGGGTGTGTGAGTCTGGGGTCCCAGGCTGAGGCTCAGTCACAGATAATTGCTGGTGGTTGACGCAACTTTTCTTGGGCGTCATCCTTCCACGGGACATTAACATAAAGCAAATAGTCAGCTGGGACCCGTGAGGACCCAGGACATTCATTTTCTGACATGAAGTCAGCACTGGTTGTCAGTCATGAAAGAATCAGAGTTCATATGCAGAAAATACGACTCTTTATATTCAGACGCCACATTAAGCAGATGTATATGCAGCCAGGACTGCTTTGTGGCCTGTGCAGATGCAGCCTCAGAGGAGAGGCACTTGGATGCCATTCTGCGGTAGTGTCCCCCATACGTGGGGATGTTCTCCCCGTTTAGTTTTGGGGAAAGCCAGGCTCTCAGACTGCGGTTCCAGCAGCTCAGTGGGTTACACGCCCTTGGCTTCATTCTGCCTCAGACTCGCCTTGGGCCCGCGGTGCTGCCCGGCCGAGCGGGGGCCTTGGCGGCCCCACCCCTCCTTCCCGGCGCAGGGATTCACGTGCGTTTCCAGGCAGCTCCAGGCCATAGTGTCCCTCCCTGCAGCTGGGCTTCAGCTCCGTACATCCATCTTGCCAGTGGTGTGTGCCTCCCAGGCCTCTGGGAGGAAGGGGAGCTTTGATGGACGCTCAGCCCTGTGTTGGGAGGAACTAAATGATGCTATTAGTGGCAACCCAGGTAGCCAGGCACCAAGACGTATGAGGGGTCCTCGGCACCAAAGCAGATGGGCCTACATGGTGAAGCATCAGCTTCCAGGACGAGTCAAGCTACTTCCTCAGGCCCCACAGCAGGCCAACAGAGAGAGAAAATTCCCATCAAGGCACATAGTATCTTCCAGCTGTGGAGATGCAACCATCTTTCCTTCGAAGGGTCCATCTCTTGACTAAGAGGCTGTGGGTGGAAGGGAGTAATTGCCTGGCTGTGAAGGATGCTTCCTGTCCAGGCTCTACCGCCCGACCTGAATGGGGGCTGTGGACCGATGTAAGGGGTTCTCTAGTGCCCCCCCCACCATGCCAAGAGTCATTACCCCAAGAACACATATAAGCCAGTTGTTATTTCCATGGCCTTTCTGTGGTTACCTTTTCAGCTGTGTGTCTTTCCACCAGACAAGCCACAGTGCTTGGGTCTGGGTGATTGTGAAGTGGGTCACGTCAGACGGCTCCCCTCGACGTGAAGGCGGAAAACCGGGAGCTCTCCATGCTTGCAGACACAGGAACGGCGGGACGTCTCGGGCTCTGAATAGAGGCCTCCTAAGCTTGACGTGCTGCTTTGAAACTGTGCCAGGCAAGAAACTTCAGTTTCTGCTACTGAAACATGTAGCCGGTCAAATCATCTGTTGGTGGAAAAAGAACAGTGGCCACTGAGATGCTGGGCCCTGGGGGCTGGTCACACACACCTGTGCGTCTTGAATTGTTTGTCCAGCGTCTAGGGGAGCAGGGCATCTTGGCCAGAGCAGCAGGGACCTTCAGAAACAGAGGATGCAAAGAGGATGGACTCTTCTGGTCTGAGCTAGAAACTGATGAAGGGTTTTTGAAGAGCTGGAGTTTTCTCAGTGTGGGAACTTAGGACAAGCACATTTCTGAAGAGAACGGTCTTTGATCATTAAGCCAAGGGTTGGGGGATGGGCCCTGGCGCTGCCTCCAGGATGCCCATTTGGAGCCTGGATGTGAGGCACCGCCGGAGGGCTGTCCTTCCCTGGAGGCACTTAAGGGGGGGAGAGGGCAGGATGGGGGTAGCGGAGAGGGCTGGGATTTCAGGAGCTCCCTTCTGCGTCTTCAGTCCAAAGAAGACCTAGTCCTGCGTGTGGTCAGCTGCCACATGGCGCAGCCACAGCTTATAGACGCGGGCCACCTTGACCCTGAGCCAGAGGCTCCTTGAGCACTTGCCAAGGCCAGACGTGCAGCCAGCCTGGTCTGTGTGGCCGCATCCCCGCTGTGCGGGCCACGCATGTGGGCCTCAGGGGCCGGCGGGCCTCCTGCCCAAGGAGCTGGCTCCTCAGCGTTCGGGATTGTTGACTCCAGATTACACAGTTTTGCAGAAAGTCTGCCCTAGGCTGGGGGCCTGAAAAGCCCGTAGGTTAAACCAAGAGATCTCCAGCCTTGAGTCAGCCTGCAGCAAGGGTGCGGCCCAGCCTCCAGCTGCGGGGCTGGTGGGTCAGAGGCGCGTCCCATCTGCCGAGACAGGGTGTGTCCGGCAGCACGGAGGCTCCTGCCCGGCGTGGACAGGTCTCAGAGCAGGGTGGTCCTGGCTTCGGCTCACATGTGCGTGTCCTCTGCATGCTGCCCCTCACCTGCTCGGCCGGTGTCTTATCTGCCCTTACGTAGTGGACGGCCACTGACCACACGTGGCCTAGCACGGCCTTACTGGGCCCTCGTGACACAGTCATTCTTTCCGGTGGAGAGTGTCCCCAGCGCCCAGCGTTGTGGTGTCACAAGCAAGCCAACACCAGGAGTGCGTGTGCCAGGGGACTGATCATCACAGTGCTGTCACGATGAGAAGTGTGACTTGACCGGCGTCGACAAATATGCAACGTTATACTTTGGATCATTGGAGAAGAGTGAATAATTCCACATCAGAGTGTCATTTTACTCCTCTGTGGTCTTGGTCACTTTGGTTTCTTCAAGGCTGTCTTGTTCAAACAGGAGCCACGGCCGGGGCAGCCTGAAGGGCCAGGGCCTGCGTACCGGCTGGAGTCAACGACGTGGCCTTCGGGATGCCCAGATTCCGGGTCCTCACCTCCGGGCCTCCTGGCTCAGTAGAGCTGGGCTGGCCTGAGCATCTTCGTGTTTTAGAACCACCTGGGGGCTGGGGTTCTGACACGTGGCTAGATGTAAGGGTTACTGGCTGCCTTGCTGTAAGGTGGAAGTAGGGCTTGCAGGAGGGGAGAGTGGGGCGTTGCCAAGAGCAACTTGCGTACTTTGTAATTTCACCCCACCCAATACTTAGGATTTGCTCAGAGTCCAAGGCGTTTATGATAGCTGTGCTAACTAAATCCACTGGGCAGGGGCTGTCCTGGAGCCTCCCGGGGGTCGAGGGTACCTATGCTCTTACTGCAATCACATGGCCTCCCCTACAAGGAGCGGAGGGTGCAGACACGGAGCCCTTCAGTCTGTGACCACGCCTGCTCAGGGCTGAGCCCAGGCGCCAAGGAGCAGGGCGTTTTCTGGGTCACTCTCAGCCTCGCCTTCAGTCCCACGCAGAGCTCCACACATCTGTGTCTGCAACCCCAGGCTTCAGTGAGCTTCCACACGCTGTGTTTTCATCACGCACTGCCAAGCAGGATTGTAATTACATCTTACACCCAACAGTTACTAAAACAGGAGACTGGAATCTTAAGACTGTAGGAGCGGGCAGAACCCCCATCCGCCGCCGCACTGGCCTCCCACAGCTGTTGCTCCTAGGACATCCTTCCGATTAGTCCAGAACGCCCGAGGCCCACATGGCCACGGGGGAGGTCAGGGTGAGGTGTCGTGGGGAACTTTTTTTTTCACATCTCCAGTTGTCTCTTGATGCTTTCAGTGCTGATGGTCCTTGGAAAACTTCAGAAGGGCTGAGGTCTCGGCTCAGGGACAGTGTCATTGGGGACCGGCTGGAGGCTGGTCCCACCGAAGGCCAGGCACTGTGATCACAAGCTACAGGGAGGCTGTGGCAGATGCAGGTCAGGTCAACTGGGAGCCGATGGCTTGTGAACTATGATAGGAAGGCGGCCCCTGCCGGATGCCCGGCGTTCCCTCCCATGGTCATCCCCACCCCTCAGCCCCCCGCCCGGCGGGGTCTCCCCTGAATGTGGGCCCTTTATCAGAGGCGGAGATGGGGAGTCCTTGCTCCTGCCAACAACGGGTGGAAACGGCGGGTGCGTTTCCCGCGTCCTGGATCCCAGAAGATGCTTGCTCAGGGGCCAGGTGCATCTAGTGCCTGAGAAGCCTCCATCTCGGTGCCTGGTGGCTGAGCAGTGGTTCTCAAGACAGAGAAGCACTTCGAGTGCTTGTTAAAATACTGGCTCCTGAGCTTCGTCTGGACTTTCTGGGGCCGCATTTCTGGGAGACAGAGCTGAAGACTGAGTATTTTTTACCACGTTCCCCAGTCAATCGTCTTTGGGAGAATTTTTTGTGGCTCAGTGTGAAAACAAAACAGACGTGCCCTGCGTTGTTTCTCAGGGAAAGTCACCCCGGGGTTCTGGAGGTTTTCTTAAAACTGGGGTGACCTGTGTTCATGACCCCACTGCACCAAGATTTCCTCAAAACACAGAGAATTTGAGATGCTTGTATGCGGCTGTGATGAGGGTTAGGTGGACGAGTCTCGGCATGGAAATACTCCAGAACTAGGCGGCACCGTGGTTGGGGGACACTTAAAATCTCCCGTGTGTTTTAGGGGAATCCTAAGGTGTAGTGCATTCAATGTGAATGAAATAAAGAGGATTTTAGGCTATGGAGACCCCAGTCATGCACTAACTTGTAGAAAGGATCAGAAGGTTAAAAAAAGAGACTGATTTTCAAAACTGACATAAACCAAAATAGAACCCTTTATTTTAACCGATTATTTTTCTTCTGAAAATAATCTACAGTGAGGATATATAACTCTGACATTATTTTCCAGACAAGAGTTTCTGTTGGTGAAGTATAGTTAACGCAGGTTTAACTGTTCATGAAACATGTTAGTGCAAAACCAATAAGTAAAATCAGAAATTCTTCCTAAAAACGACAGTTTGTGGGAAAGGAAGGTGCCTTTTATTTTTATATGAAGCCATGGGGTTTGCCAATGTTTCACATTTTGAGGAATGCTTAAAACAAGCAATCCTTCTTTTCCTCTCCTTGACTCACTGTCAGTCAATTTTTCTGGTTATTTCAGGCCATTCTGTGTCTTTTCTCTTGAGTCTGTTAGTTTTGGGGGAGAGCTTGGGAACAACTTGAAACCTGGATCACGTCTTCCCCCCTCATCTCTCCCCTTTTGAGATCAACTGAAATGAACTCGATAAATTTACAAAACGACAATGGCTCGTGCAACCGTGTAGTGGGAACACGAGGCAGATGACAGAAAAATCCCAGATGTCGTCACAGCAGGAGCACCACCTCGCAGCGCGAGGCTGAGGCAGCCCCCGCAGCCCCCCACAAGGGAAGGTCATCCCGGGGTCCTCCTTGTGTGTTCAGGGGTCAGTGAATTAAGACCATGAGCCAGAGTGATTCCATCCCCAAGGCTCGCTGACATTCCGCGGTGGTGTAAATAATTTAGGAGGCCCAGTTACATTATTGAAGACGTTAAATGCGGCTGCGGTGCCCAGGAATCTGAACTGGCGTTGTCAGGACCGGCAGGGAAATGTGTGTGGTTAAGGCACTCCTCTCCCCCAGGCCCTGTGCCTCCGAGGAGGGAGTGGTCTGCGTGGGTTTCATTTCAGAATGAGAAGGACAAAGACTGCCTGCCTGCCTCCCGGAGGGGAGCCAGGACCCCACCCTGTCCGAGGAGACATGGGTCATCTACATGGAGTCAGTTCTTCAATTTTGCCTCTTTCCTTTAAAAAGAATGTGTGTTATTTAAAGAAGGTTGGACAACAAGGACCTAGGCACAGCACAGGGAACTATAATCAATTTCTTGTAATCAGCTGTAATGGAAAAGAACCTGAAAAAAATATGTATGTATATGTATAACTGAACATCTTTGCTGTACACCTGAAACTAACATTGCAAACTGACTGCACTTCAATCAGAAATATTAAAGAAGGTTAGAGATATTTGACATTTTCATACAATGGTGAGAATTTCCATAGGAATATTGAAAAAACAAAACAAAACACTGAATCTTTGCCATTAATTTGCCTTCACACACACACTGGATTCTTTGAATGAGATAGTTTTTTAGGCCCTGAACTCGGGAAACATCTACAATGTGTGTTACTGAAAATAATAAAAGAAACATGTGTTAACATTCATGTTCCTCTCTGCTCCCTCATTTTATCTTATCTGACGAGTGGAGCTTCTTTCTCAAACACGCCCTTTACGGTGATCTCGACCACTAAACCCACCCTGTTCTCTCTGTCACCAGGGACCTGATGACCGCCGGCCGGCCCCAGCAAGTCCCCCACGGGTCTCTGTTTACATGGGCAGTCCTAAGAAGGTCAGGAATGTGACTTTGGTATAGCACAGACGTCCCTTTGTCTCCACAAGGCACTTGGTGGACGACCTACGTCACGATGATGCCATCACTGCTCACGATGGTGTCTCTGTGCTCACAGTGACATCACCATCGCTCTCCCGAAGTCCTCAGGCTGGGCTCCAGCTTTGCCAGCATGACCCGGAAGACACGATATTGCTTGGCATCATCAGAACGGATATGTTATAGCGAGAGAAGAAATCTATTTTCCCAGCTTCCAAAGCGGGATGTGACTTTTAAAATGTTTCAAGATTTCAGTGAATTCCATAGTGACTAAGTCAAAGCTGCACATTCATCATGACAGTGATCCTCATCACGCAACACTCCTGCTTGCTCATCCGACGGATGGTAGCTAAGTCTATATCCCACCATGACGTTTAAGAAGTTTTTGTTACCTTAAATTGTATGAAGATGATATTTATGTACCTTTAATATATAAATATTATTGCATATTGTCTGTGAAAAAAGAGGATAAAAATTAGAATGAACAAGAAGTCTAAAATTTCCCAGAAAACCAGAACTCACAGGTTATAAATAATATTACATTCTAAAGCTGATGTGCACCTTGCGAGATGCCTTGTTATTGGATGTTTATACAAAGACATCATTTTTACCTGCTTCCTCGTCAGCCGTGTGCCCGTGTGCTGGAGTGAGTCAGGTGTGGGTTATTCTTTGTGGGGTATGTCCCTCGAACCAAGGAAAAACTGGCAATGGGCAATATAGTCTTTCATAAATAAAAGCCGCCACAGAAGTTGTACTGCTTTCCTGAACTCTTTACTCTTTAGCTGGTAGTTTAAAGCATCATAGGGTTTAGGAATCAAGCATTTTCCAAAAAACAAAACAGGAGGCTTCCATATGTTTTGTTTTCTTTCTTCAAGTGAAGATTCTCAGTGCATTTCACGGCGCACCCCATCATTTCACATGTAACCTGGAGGCTGGGCGATTATTTGGCTGAGGTCCTTGCTGGTTGGTACAGATTTCTCTGATGGTGAGTAATTAGGAACTTCTCTGAACCCTCCACCACCCCCAGGCCCAGCCATGCTATTGCCAAAGTAGAATTTGACTTTTAAATAGTGTTAAGATCTTAGTGAATTCCTTAAAATTACCTGGCAAAAGACACAAAGTCATCGTTTTGATGTTTCTGACCGCTGAACACTCCTGGGTGCTAATCCATGGTTAGAGCAGTCTCTACAGGCAGACCTCGGAGATGCTGCAGGTTCAGTCCCAGATCGCAGCAACAGAACAAGTCACATGAATTGTTCTGGTTTCCCAGTGCCTATGAAAGCTGTGTGTACACTACACTATAGTCTATTAAATGTGCAACAGCATTATGTCTAAAAAACAATGCACATATATTAATTAAAAAATATTTTATTGCTAAAGAATGCTCACCATCATCTGAGGCTTCAGTGAGTCACAATCTTTTTGCAATAGTCACATCAAAGATGACTGGTCACAGATCGCCATAATAAATATAATAATAATGAAAAAGTTTGGAATATTGTGAGAATTATCAAAATGTGACACAGAGCCTGGAAGTTAGCAAATGCTGTTGGGAAAATGGCGCCCACAGACTTGCGCTGGGCTGTCACAAAACTTCAATTTGAAAATAATGCAGTATTTATACGACACAATAAAACAGAGCACAATAAATTGAGGTATGCCCATATACTATCATGATTTATAAATTTTTTTTATCTTTAATCATATCAGCCCCTGGACTCCCTCTTATGAATCAACAACTAAATCAAGGATATTTATAATCTACTGCACAACACGGGGCTGTGTTCTGTCCTGTATCTGTTCTGATTGGCTGGTTCCCATACAGTATCCATTCTGATTGGTTGGTGCCCATACAGTATCCATTCTGATTGGTTGGTGCCCATACACTATCGGTTCTGAGTGGATGTGCTCCTGCCTTACAGGTTGTCCAATATTTTGAACATCACCACCACTTAGAGGATCTTGAAAAATAAAATCATCTCTTCTAAGACTGTCCCTGATGTGAGGGAACTGGTCACGTATTTTCTTTAGAGAAGAACTAAAAATGCAAAATTTCAAAAACTGGTGACTATTGTCATCCTTTTCCTATGAGTCCTTTTTATGGGAAAAATTGCCAATTCAGCTGCTTAAAAATGAGACTCTTGTTTATTATAATGACTTCTTTACTCCCTGTCAACATGATTCTGTCTCCTGCCACCATCCTCAAATGGATACAAGTCAAGGAGGAAGATCAGAAACTCTAAGGACCCTTCAAGCAGAGCTGTTTGTTGAGCGACCTCCATATTTTTTGCTTCATAGTTTACTCTCCTTAAATTGCCACAGAACCCAGATCCCAAGACAAGGCAAATGTCACGTCATTTACGCCTTTTGTAACCTTTACAGAAGCTGGCATTCAGTAGGCATTGAGTAAATATTGATCTCAAACAAGTGAATATTGAGAAAGACAGTATATTGAAGTATAATGAATATTTGCCATCTGCCTGCTGTAAGAATCATATTCCCGTGGGGTTATTTTAGGAGTCGGTGGGGGCGGGGGGGGGTATTGCATGTAAAATATAATTGAACTTTAAGTTTTAAACTCTGGAGAACAATGCCAGATGATCTTCGTTGAAATTTCTCCAACTTGCTATGGGCTCGGTGAATCCGTCTATGTGATTTTTTTCATTTTTCCAACTCTGGGAAGTTCTCCAGTGTCACTAGTAAACAGGTTCTTAATAGTAGCTTATTCCACAAACAAGTTTTCTCGAAAGGACCCCCAGCCAGATTCTATTTCACAAGAGGGATGTATATTTTGTGAACAGAACTACCTAGAGTTGCGCTGTTCAAAACCCTAGGCACGTGCAGCTATTTGCATGTAAATTATTTGAAATTAAATAAAATAGAAGATTAATTTCCTCCATCCCACTGGCTTCACATCAAGTGTGCAGTAGCCACGTGTGGCTAGTGGTTACTGTATTGGCCACGCAGATGACAGGTTTCATTGCTGCAGAAAGTTTTATTGGACCGTGCTGACCTAGAGCCAGCTCCTCGGAAATGACCTTGACGTGTCCAGGATGGGCCCTTTTACACAAACACGTAATCCGTGTTTTCTCTCAGGGTTATGTCTGTGTACTTGCCAGTTTCTATTTAGGAGTCCTGCAAACCCCAAGGCAGCTCTCAGCTGATAATGGGATTTCACTGATGTGGTGGATTCATCGCTCACTCCGGCGACGCGGAGAGCTGAAGCAGGCTCAGGGGCTGGGGTGAGAGGGGTCGAAATGTCATGGCCAAGGGCGTTTCTCAGAAAGATAGATGTGACTGTCTGCTCATGAATGGCCAGTGAAGCTAAGATAAATTAAACAGATTCCTCAGAGTCTCAGTCATAACATCCTAGCCAGAGGGACTCCATCTGCCCATCTTTCCAGGGATCTTTGACCTCGGTTATGCGGTCACATTGCAAACCTACCCCATGAAGTCAGGGATTTTCCAGAATTTACTTAGAGTAGGACTCACTTGAAAATGCCAACATATTGAAGATAATCGGAGCTCAAACAGATGTACCTCCTTTGCCATGTGCGGTCCTGATCTGGGAAAACCATTAGGGACATTAAAGTTGTATTGTCAGTTCCTAGACAGCGATGACCTAAAGGTGAGTGGATTTTGCCAAGCATCCGGGAGATGCTGCGTCAGCATCTGAACCTGCCACTTCAGTGAGTAAAATGTCTCTGGGTAAGAACGCCGTGTCCTGCGCGGAGCGGGAGTATAGTCCTTTCTGGGGAACTGGTAAGGATGCAGAGCTCAGAGATGAGAGAAGTCAGTGAGGGGCTGGAAGGAAGGGTTCAGGGGTGTGTAGGAGGGGGTGGAAGGCGGTCTGGCACCCGTGAGGCAGGACCCGTGGGCCTGGGGGGCTGTTATGCTCCACAGGGCTCACAGGGCTCACAGGGCAGGGAGAGGCGGGCAGCCCTGGATGGAGAGGGCCCCTGCCAGTCGCTGGGCCGCAGGTAGAGGGACACAGCCAAGTCATGGAAGGAAGTCAGGCGACAAAGACTCCGTCTCCTCACTCTCTTGCTCCCTGTCCCCGACCAGAGCCAGGGGTCCAGGTTGCCCACTGACGCCATCGGGCTGAAGGAGGGTGACACATGGATGGGGAGAGGAAGCAGAAGATGCCCATCCAGGAGGAGTGGACATTTAGGATATAGAAATCAAGGCCCCGAGAATGCGCCTGTGATGTCATGGGGAGGACGATGTGCCCAGAAGGGTTCCGCTTCTTCCTCTCCTTGGGATGAATCCATTTACCAAAAGAGGACACACGTGGGGGGAAAGCAATCTGGCAGCATTGAACTTGAGTGGGTCACGGCTCTGGTGACACATCAGTAGAACAGAGGGATTGAGTGCACCCCCATCCTACCTTCACAGAGATGTTCACACACACACGCACGCACACACACACCCATGCCCTGTCCTCATCGGACACGGCCCGGCTCTTAGGACCGGGGCTGCCCCCCTGACTGCATTCAGGCCTCCCTCACCCCTGCAGCATTTGGAGGGAGCCACGCTCCCCTGCAGATGGTAAATATTTAATTCTCATCTCGCCCAGCTTGGAAGTCATGCGGCAGACCACGACCTCGGGGAGACTCACTTTCCAGCGTTTACGAAGTAGGGGCTCCAGCCTCTCGGCCTGGACGTGAGCAAACCCGAGGCAGCGGGCTGGGGCCCGTGTCGTCTTCCGTCTCTTGTTGGGTGAGACGTGTTGTCTCTAAAAATGCAGTGAGACTCTGAATGGGCCGGTGGGACAACGTGTGAGAATCGTTGCTCAGCCAGTGGCTTCAGACGGAGAGATTCATGCTTGTCCTCGCAATCCACCTGGGTTGATAAAGCAGAAAATTTATAAGACTCCAGAAAAGTCTCTGGGGAGACACGTAGAACAGAAGGTGTGGATTTTATTCCTCCTCGGCAGCCTGAAGGATGTATGGTATTTCCTGGGATAACAGCCTGGGAGCTCGGTCACACTGCACTTCACTTTCATGGCTAACACGGTCTCAGGGAGTTCAAATAATGGCATGTGTTGTCTCAATCAGAAACAGATTTTAGAAACCACAGCTGATCTAGTTTCTTTTTGTTTTCTTTCCCTCAGAAAGTACACACTGGACTGGGTGAAGTGCAATGTAGTCAGTGTCAAGTCTTGTATAGCGGCAGGAGCATCTTCACAGTTGTGTGTGTGTGTGTGTGCGCGCGCGCGTGCCTGTATATACGTGTGTGTATGGTACGTATACACGTGTGTGTGCACAAGAGTGTGTCAAGAGCCAGGGAAGGGGAGAGACGCTGGAATAAGGCATTCATCCTGCAGGCACTTAGCCACCCGTGCGGCTCTGGGGGCGGGGTCCCGGCTTCTGCAGGGCGCCTGTGCCACGGTGGGGGGCGAGCTGAGGGAAAGGCAGGGGTCCCGGGCGTTCCTCCTGGGTCCAGGTCTGTGGGGCTGCTGACCAGCTTCACCTCACGTCCCGCTCTTGTGCCGACGGTGTGTCTGCAGGGGCTGCGCACACCGTGGACATCACAACTTCCCTCCCAGGCCCTGGTTAGTGACTCTTTTCTGACCCTGTGAGCCTCCCCTTCTGGGCCTTTTCCTCCCCACTGTCTCCTGCGCTGTGGGAGGTGGGATCCAATAACGAATCCCTTATTCCCTGTCACTCGGAGCCTGGCGGGACTCTGACTCCCTCCCTGCTGGGCTAATGCCTGACTGTGTTACCACGATGCCTTCGACGTCTC